TATGTGAAGTAACCCACCGTGTCATTACCAAAATATTTCCTAACTTTTTTCTGGAGGGAAGGACAATTCTATTAAAAGTTGTGATTGAAAAATAAATGCACATAATATACTTTACCTTGTTGAAATACTTTGTAGCTGACTGCTTTGTAGTCTATTGCTAGAGTCTGTCATACGTGTGAAGTTTTTTCTGTGGAGCATATATCAAATTGTGCTAGTTGTGAGATGAGGCCATCATATCTGCCATATCTATATCAATGACAATGGTCTCTAACATACTGAGTACTGTCATTTCCACAATATCTTGAAGGGGGCTCATTATGAATCATTTTGAAACTTTTTTTATTGACCTCTTAAATGTAATACATTTATATCTTTAAATGTCTGCTCATGCTCAGCTACTTGCAACCTTCTTTTTTTTTTTTTTTTACAGTCGCAATGTAGACATTAGCCAGTACTTTATCAGGATAATATTGGTGGTCTCAGCTGTGCCTATGTATGTTCAAAGTAGTTTTCGGCATCATGGAATGTGGGCATTCAGATATTACTCTGACAGGGTGACATCATAATCCTACCCTTGGCAGCATCATGAGTTTTCATAACTTGCACTAAAGGTTGCCATGGTAGGAAAGCTGTGCACTGGCATTAATTATGTATGTATTGGATTATGTTCTGATGTAAGTGTGTGACATAGTCAAATAATCAGTAGAGTGCAGACATGTAAGTTATGATACACTGTTGCCATAGTGCATGGTATAGAAATATTGAAAACTATTATTTTTTTAATTATTGCTCATGTCTAACTAACTTTCACCTCAGTAGGCTGTAAGAAACAATTATATTATTTCAGGTTGCTCTGTGGATTCAGATGTATGAGTGATTTCATATGAGTTTCTATACTGCAAAAGTATATGACAATAACTGTAGCTGGGCAGGCAATAACCATGGGCACTATAGGCATATCATGCAATAAGATATATTTATGATATTTGAGCAATTCTAGGAACAATCACCCTCCATTTTAGTGCACATTAACTTCATAAGCTGAAGCTAGAGAGGGCAAATGTGGACATTCCACATAAAATCTTAATTTGTGGCAACTGACATGTACATGTGTGCAGTCATGTGTAGTGGGTCTCAGTAAGGATTCACCAATGAAGTCAGTTTTCTGCTTGACGAGTTTAGTGTACAAATGATGCCTCCAAATGTGACACTGACATATATGGGGCAAGTGTACTATGAGGATTTGGATGTACATCGCAAGATGTACACTGCAAGAGAAGCCACATGGGTGTCTGTGGGGAAGGATAGCAACATTAGAAACAATTGTTAGTTTTAGTTGACTCCCTGCTGTATCTTTCTGCCATTTCTGTTTGTTGGACATGTCACATGGAAAAAAATTAAGGTTGCTGTAATAGACTGTTAATGCCTCCCTGGCCATCGTTTTTCTTTGGTACACACTTGCTTGTCTTTGGACAGACTAACAGGTCTATTCACAAAAGGGTGAAGAGTTTGGAAAAGGCAGGAGAAGTGATCAATCTAGGACAACATAGCTGAACTGGAAAAATTCTCCAATTCAGATCACTTTCCAATTCAGTTATGTTGTCCTAGATTGTTCACTTCTCCTGCCTTCTCCAAACTCTTCACCCTTTTGTGAATAACCCTGTAAAAAACAATTTTGAGATAAAATGAGGGAAATGGAGGGTAAAGGTGTGCATGGTCAGCTCAAGCTAAGATGCTCCACTATGGGATAGAGACTGATATTCTCAGCATAAGAAGTAAACACTTAAAAGATAAATGGAAACATTTTGTGCATAATGGTATTGAAGGCCGTTTTCATTTTAAGAGAATATCCACATAAGAGTAAACTTAGAACTAAACAAATGTTGGTCAGAGCTTATATATGTAAAGACAAAATATGTTGCCTTTAGAAACTAGATAATTGGTTTGAGTATAAACCTGGGTATACAAAGTTTAAGTTTTAAAGTGACATTAAAGTATTTATACCCCCCCCCCCC